CTCATTTTTGTAGTTGTTATCACAATATTTCAGCCATTTTGACCTCCGGCATTCAACAGGGAAATCCAAACTGAACACTTTATTTAATTAACTGGGGTAGACTGTTCTCATTCTTCTTCCCATGTCTAGGGATATCTTGTCTAATTCTTATTTTTAGTACTGCTCAATTATTGCTCATCTGTTTCCTAAGAGTCCAAGTACACACTGCCCAGCCCTGGGATTGAACTCATAATAATTATGTCCCCAACTGGGGGTCCATACAAAAAAATAACAAATTGGTTCATGGTAATATTTTAGTGGTCCATAGAGCAATCCCACTTCAGAACGGTTGTTACAACTGAGAAATGGAATTTCTACAGTAATCTATACCATATTGAAATACTAAAAATAGAAAAACAACTCTAAAACTAGCAGAAAATGAGATCAAGTGATGTAAGTTAGCTTCTCTTCTACTCTTCCGGATGCTTTGATTTAATAAAAAAAAAAAAAAAAAAATTAATTTAAATGGTTTATAAGTTATTTTACTAGTGTACATAAATGTTCCATAGAATTTAGTTGTTAAATAAAAGTTTATTTTCAATAAATTAGTTTTACTTCAAAATAAAGCATATACATTTACTATTTCTATAATACAATTCCTAAACTTATCTATCAGTAAAAGATAAGCTTTTTTTTTTTATTGAATGATTATGACTTTTTACAACTGAAATGTAAAAATATTTAAATTTTTCATGGCATTTTGACATATGTCTGAATGTTTTTTGTTTGCATGTTAAACTCCTTTAAACTACTGCATTTTTATGAACATGGGAGATGTGAATAAAAGATGTTGATTCACTTCAATCCACTAGGATATTGTACCATGTGATAATTCTTTGTGGGGAGCCTTAAACCTAACCCGCCTACTTTTCCAGATTATTTAGATCTAGGAAATATTAACTAGATTGTAAGAATTTTTTGGAGAAATAATGATTTACTGACACAAGCCCTACTAAATAGAAGAATTAATATTATTTAATATCAATTTAGGTAACCTTTAATTTATTCTCATTCTGCTGTCAATGGATACTTGTCTAATAATCGTCTTTAGTATTGCTCAATTATTGCTCACCCTATTACCACTCAGTCTTCACCAGGGATTGAATTTACAATTACTACATTATCAAATTCACAAACCAATGCTTTAATCCATTAGGTTATTTTCTACAACTTTGAACTTGGAGCCTTAAACCTAATCTGCCTGCTTCTGTTGTTATGCTTGACTGCATTCACCATGGATTCTCTTTATCTTAGTGCTAATTTCTTCATACATCTGATTCAAGTGTTTTTCTGTTCCTGTCTTTTTTTAATTCATTCTACAGGGACTGGTGAATACACTTTTCCTTACATATATGATCAGCCATGCCTGATTTCATTGTCTCACTTTTAATTAGTTTTTTTTCATGTTCCTTTAGTCTTACTTTTAGGAAACAGCTGGTTTCACCTTTGCATTCTTTGTCATAACTGTCAAAGGATGGCATACACACCAGTTCTCCTGTGTTAGGCCTTACTCAGCAGAGTTTTCCATAGAAGCAGCTCATGCTTTTGAATGTTGTATGGATTGCAGATCTTTTAAACCTTTTCCCATAAGCCCTTGATGTAAGTAAAACAAACTATAGCAGTTTTCCAGTTCTCCCCCTTGACCCTTGTGCTTTGATATTATATTTGCAATATTATGTCTCTTGTTGGAATGTGTCTGAGTTGACACTTATGACTTTTGTACAATTCTGTAGGCATTGAATAATTCCTTTATGCTGTATAAATGGTAGGAATTGAAGTATTGTTAAGTGAAGGCTGTCTTGTAATATACAGATGTTTTGAATCCATTCTCTGTGCAAGTTATTAGTATATCCAGGCAGGTTAATGGATTGTTTTCTTCTTCTGTTGTGAACAGGATCAAAGCTCTTATAATAGTTCATATGGCCCAGCTGTATTTGACAGCTTCCTAGTGAGGCCATAAAATGAAAGTGTCACCATAACTGTTAGCTTTAGTGATGCTATTTCTAAATACATTTCTTCAAAATATTCCATGTATATATTTTGCCATCACTGGTAACAATAGTGAGCTTATAGCGAAGCCTTCCTCCTGCTGATATATATCAGACCCTAGTTGGAAGAATGTTGTCTTTACACAGAATAACATTTTTGTAAGGTTATATATTGGGATGCTGTTATGTTCTCCAAACCAGCTTCATTTGTAGGAACTCTTGTGAATAGGATCACCATATCCAAGCTTACCATCCAACTGCTATGGATGGGATCCTTTCAGATAGATTCATCAAAGTATTCAGAGTTCTTAACATATGGATTGATGATATCAAACTTGCATCCTGCGCAGCAGGTGGCATACCAAGCCCTCATAAGTGACTATGCATCTTAACAGAAGACCAACTCTATGAATCTGGGTTTGATGGGATGGCTGCATGTACAAAGTTGGCAGCTGATTCAACTTATTCAGGGTGAAGTACTCGTTCTTATTTCAGATCCATGTCAGATTGCTCTTGGGATTTAGGGTCACATCCTTTTTCACCTTGCCATGATATTTCTCCGGAGCATGTTTGGTGGAAAAAGAAAGGCACTATGTCGGTAGATCTTTCTCGTAAGGCATGAGCCTTATGAGAAAGATCTACTGCCATAGCCTGAATAAAAGGTTCAATTTGAAATAATCAGCATGTTTCCAAATATGTCAGTCACTTAAAAATAATTTTAAAAATCTTGAATGGCATAACAACCAAGATGAGGATCACCAATTTATATAAATCGCTTTTTAAGTAACACTTTGTATTAACCGAGAAACATTAACAACACAAACCTTCCAGCTTGGGTGGGTCAGAAATTTTCTTTTCTTTACTGATTAATCCCAACTATTGCAATGTGATTGTTACCCACTTTCTCAACAAGTTATCCTCTCTCTAATTCTATCAGGTTTTAGTCTGGTTTAAATAAAGAAAAAAAAAATGTTCATCCCCAAAGAAACACCCCAAGCATAGAAAACATACAATAATAGTAATATTTAAGATGACCAAGTTGTCCTCAGCTGCATTTGTTAGCTTTGTTCATTTTGACATGCAACATTCATAATTGTAGACATGTTCATTGTTAGAAAAAATTCTTGCTTGACACTTATTGAATATTTTCAGTTTTAAAATATATATGTCTTGTGATATAAGATTCTATTGTTTCAAGTCTGGATATTTTTTTCTCGAGAGATAAATGTCTATTCATTTAGGAAAGAAAGTTAAAAGGAATTGTCTTTATTCTTACAAAGATTTGTTTTTCACTTGTACCATTTAAAGAGGAAATTTTCTCAGAAGTCCCTCTCCCAAATTCAAAGTCAATTTTCAATATATTTACAAAAAAGAATAATGAAAAGGCTTTCTTGGAGTTAAATCAATCTTTTCCAACAAGGACAATATTCACCCCACATCATTTTTTCTTAATAATAATCCATCTCTTATACTATAAACCTGAATTGTCTTGAGCAAGTCTTTTAAGCTTTCTTTTAAAAATAATTTTTTTTTTTTAAATTTTGCTTGTCAGTTCAGAACTGTCTTCAATTTAAAGACATTAGTCTCTTTATATAGACATAATATGTAAAGTATCATTTACAATCTCTTCTTTCTCTCTTCCTTTTATTCCTAAGTCAGACAAAAAGTAATGTTTATTTTTTATCTATTCTCTGCCCCCACACACACCATCACCACCATGACTTTCTTTCTCACATCAATCAGGACAAAAATCACTTTCTTTTCTCTCTCAGACCGGAAGCAATCCGTCTTGAATTTAGATGTCTGATCATAACAAAGCACATTCACTTTAGGTAAAACCCATCAAAATCAATTGAAGCACATCTTCTCAGCTGGCTATTTGCTGCCATATCAGTTACAATCACTTCTTTGGGTGTGATACATGCTCAAACAGCACAAATAGCCCAATCTGAATGCATTAAAATCATTCCTCCAAGAGGAGAGAAAAGTTAAGACACAAACACTTTTCAATTTTCAAAATAAGGATGCTTCTCAAAAGCCATTTAAATAACACTTTCTTAATATGGTGTGTAGATACGCACACTTTCTTAATATGGTGCATAGATACACACACTTGAGAGGTGCTGAAAATTTCGTGGCCTAACCAAGATGTCCTTCCAAAAAACATCAGATTTCAAAAAAAAATTTTTTAAAAAATGGATCAGCCTGGCACCTTTTAACCTTCCTTGTGTGCATATTTCAGTGGGAAATGTGGTTATCAGTTCAACTTATTTTTAAGTTTCAAGACATTAGGTATCACATCAACAGATAAGCAATCAGGCAAAAACTTTAAAAAAAAAAAAAAAAAAAAAAAAAAAGAAGTATTAGTTATTTATATCACAGATAGGATTTACTGAACCTGTCAAAATTTTGATTCACTCAATCGCATATATTATGGCACAACAAATATCCAAAGCAAATATAGAAAGTAAACATTTCCCTTCTTGTACTATCGCACGTGGACTGACATAGTGAATTGAATATGAAATCATAAAAGAGGATCATTTAAGACTTATCTTTGATTAGAAAATGCCAGTGGCATTGCAAAAAGAGTTATTATATATAGAAAATTATGTTTTCTAGATAACAAATCTTATGATAGAGACAATATTGCTAAGTTCAAAAACTATGTTTACTTTTCTTTTTTAGACACATTTTTTTCTGAATATACAGCTCACATTCTATTGATTTCTTTTTTGATTGATTCATTCATTTTTTATGGTTTATAAACCCTTTACAGGTCATTTAAAGCCAGAAAATATTTTTTAGATTTTTTTGAGATAATAATGGTTTACTGATACAAGTTTTACTAATTAACCCATAGCTTGGGGGAAGAAGTAGATTGATACTTTCCCTCCATGTAAGTGAATAGAATAACTGGAACTTGACTCTCTGATTAACAATTCTGAGCAATTATCTACCCACACATCCAAGCTTACAGCAACAGGTATTCCCAAATGGTTACCCATCTAGGTACTGACCAAGCCCAGTATTGCTTAACTTTGGTAACCATAAAGGAACCAGTGTTTCAATATGATGTGGCCATAAGCCTGTATCAATTTCTAACATATTGAATAAAATCCTCTTATTTGGAAATTTTTTGCCATTTGTTTTCAAAGGACTAACAAATAAGTTTTCAGATTTTCTCCAGACATTTCAATTTGTGCAAATCATTTTCTCAGTAATTCATCATTTTATGAATTCATTCAGAATTTTGTAAGAACAATAATGAATGCTTCAATTGTAAATATTAACAAAATGTCTACGATTTTATTTTTTTAAAATATTAAAAACATTTGTCAAGATTGTCTTGTTCTCTCAAAATAGGTGGAGGGGGGTGAAATATAGCAAATGGAAACTTACAATCAGAAAGGGACAGCTACAATGAGGAAAGAGGGCTTGGCAAATTTAACCCTCACAGGATCTATTGAAGGCAAGAGAAATGTTTCAGTGAATAGAGGACAAAGAGAGGGATGGTAATAGATAAAATGTTGCTCAGAGCAGCAAAAACAGGAAATGGTGGAGAGCCATGATCACTGACATCCCAAGAGGACATAGCACATAAAAGATGGAACATCAAAAACTCATTTAAAAAAATACTAATCACTCATTTTAGAAGTAAATGGCATCAAAAGAAAACAAATTGATTTAAACAAGCAATCCCAAAACACAAACGCATACAGTATTTGGAAGAAAACCAAACAAAAATCTTGTTGCAGAGAAATTAAATAAAAAATATGGATGAATCAGGTTTTAGTGATCAAAAATAAATTTTCACTTGATCTACTTATCTATATCTAAGAACCTCTTGAATAGAGAAATAAAGGTTTTTGTTTCTGCTTTGACATAATCAAGATGTTGACATTCCACACTACTTCAAACAAAAAGTTAGGAAAGAAACCTTCATCAATATTTAGCGGAGTTGACAAACCTATTTTTATGAAAACTTAATAGAAAGATTTTATAAATTTCAGTTGAATGTAGCACTGCTCGGTTTGGTTGTTTAGTGGCATATCAACACCTCTATGGGTTATTTAGTGCCAAAATCTAGATATTTGGAATGCAATATTACAACTTCAAGTAAAGATATTTTGTATATAATTGTATACTTTCAGGGTAAATGTACTTTTTATAGATATGTGCTATGTATACTTGAGTATAGAGCAAGATTTTAAGATCTGTTTTTTTTTTTTTTTTTACGCAAATAATAGGGGAAAAGGGTCACACAATACACAGGTCATTTTTTTTTTAAAAGGTTAAAAAAAAAATTGTGCTTTTTCAGTAACTGGTTGCACTATACACAGGTAAAACTTTTTTTGGTGGTATTAAAATTCCTGCAAAGAGATTCAGGCGATATACTATACATGAAGTTGGCACAAATACATACAACCATTTGTAGATCTATTGTAGGTGTTATATGTAGCATTGTATTGTAGCATTGCTAAGTCAATCAATGTTTCCTTATAAGGAAATAGCTAATAGTACCATTACAAAAAATTGAGTTCAACTTTATTTTTTGCCAGTGAAATTAATATTTTCTCAGTCAACTTTTGAATGAAAAGTCTTCAATGACAGAAAAAATGGTTAATAATAAAGTAATTTCATTGCATTTTTTTCAAAAATCGATAATGTTTTGCAAAATGGACTTATGTAGATAATTGAAGCGAGTTCTTGTTTGAATTCAACTTTGATTTTCACTCTACATACAAAAAAGACATTATTTCTGAAGAAGGCAAGATCATTAAATACAAAGCAACAGCTTTAAAGTAAAAATTACCAAAATTAATAATTGGCTGAAATTAGTCCATAAATTATTTTAACTTTGCTACAGAAGATGAGGTTATTAGTCTGAATGAACTCAAGAAAGAATCTACTTTTGAAATCTTTGAAAACCAAACCCTGATTGAAATCGCTGTGAGTGCCAAGTTGAATGTCAACCACAAATAAAGATTAGAAATATGTCCAAACTTTTGCATAAAAGACACCTTTACCCAATCAGCCACACAAATTACATTGGGTCTCATAAGTCAATAGGTTTTAATCACTTGTAATGTTCCATCTCCCAATAAATATCAGATTTGATACAAAACAATTTGTATGCAATTGGAATTTTCATAAGTGTTTAAAATAACAATAATCCATTGTTGTACAAACCATATGCTGTCAAGCATAACTGTCTTGAGCAAGTCTTTTAAGATGTGTTTCATTTTTTTGGAAATTACCCTTTGATTCTTTGTCAAATCATTTATACAGGAAAATTATTTTGTTTAAAATTGTATGCTTGATGAAAAATTTAATTGAAATTAAAACTTTAGGAATGGCTGTTAAATAAGAACAAAATAACCTTTACTTTTGGAAATAAACAAAAAAGTCTCCAAATGTTTTAAAGCAACTTAATTATTGCAAAATGCTTTTTACCAAATCAGTAATACTAATTAAATCTGAGCTAACGATGCGGCATACCAAGATGATTATAACAAATGTCAGGTGGTTGTGAAATAATTATATTTCTGAGCAATTAAACAAATGCAATCAAAAAAGCAACTCACTTATAATTTGTCAAATAATTATTTGTGTTTCCTTAAAAATGAAAAGAAAGAAAACAATCAGCTTAAATCATAACAGTTTAGCTTTTAAAGTTTTACTCTCTACTCAGGTCATCCACTCATCTATCTTACTATTGTCTTTCTTCATTTCTTTTCATCCACTCTCTCAGAATATTCTGCCTATCATCCTTCATTCTACCCTCCTTTTCTCTGAAGATTAACTAAAAATTCTAAGAAATCATTTCAAATCACAATGACAGAAACAAAATCAAATTCTTCATTTATCTTCTGGATAACATTTAAACAAGAAAAGTCAAAGTATCAGTCTTAAATGTCATCGCAAAGCAAAAACCGAATATCACTTTAACAAAATCAAGAGTTGATAGATTTTCTATACAATTGTAGATTAGAAGAGATAAGAAGCTTTTTCTTTTTTTCCCCATCAACGAAAGAACATGCTTCATTTAACCAGCAGTAGAAACAGTGTTTTCGTATCCTGCCAACAACCATGAAGCATCATTTCCTCTTTTCCAGACAACCAGAACTGAACCAAATTTCATGCTTATTGAGGCAAAGTGAAAGGTAAGCTACATAAGAAGAGAAAGTCCTGGAGATAAGCTGTTTCTTAGAAACAAATTTTTCTTCTAGTTTTTTTTTTTTTTTACAGAGGAATTCTTGCCTCTTAGAAAAAGTTATGTGTACAGAATAACGGAAGATTCATTGTTAGTGTTGGTTCCAATCCAGTTTGTAGGAATGACTGCAAAACCATTTGCCCCTCCCCAATTTATGGGCAGAAGCACACAAATGCATGCTTTCTTCCTAGCCATTAAAATAGGCCAATTCTCCATTTAATTTGACTCAGTTCAGGTTTGTCTTGAAGTCAGAAAGCTACATTCATTTATCTGAATTTACTTTTGTGTGTCAATCCCAATTCTTAGTTTGTGAACTTTTTGCCTTATTACTGTTGCTTTGCCTTTGCATATATTGTTTGCTTGCTTTAGATTATTTCTGGTCCTGTGCTTTTTTCCTTGTTATTGTTTATTACAAACTTTGTAACAATTCTGTTTGTTGGGCACTTCTGCTATTTATTTTGCATTTGACAATTGTTACTCACTTGACAATTCGACTTTCAAAAAATTACTATCACCAAAAGTTTCTCAGTTGGATTTATTAAACTGTAATCAACTTTTTGGTAATTAGGCCACAATTAATGTTGGAAATTTTCATATTCATTTTGCTTGTCAGATTCTGAAGATTTATTTAAAGAAAAAGCAACAACAGCATAGGACTGATACAGAATTCAAAATACTTCAAAATATCTTTTAATTCTTGCTAGTTGCTTAAAGAGAGAGAAAATCTACACCTAAGGAAGGCTGAAAACCACATCAGCCAGAACATTGGGCCAAATACAAAGATATCAAAGATTTTCAAGGAGTTGCAAAAAATAAAACAGATGCTTTCAAATCCTCAATGGGAATTAACACAATTCTTCAAATTAGAAAAAAATCCATAAAGAAATGATTTACATTGATACACAAGTGGACAAAGAAATTCCATATAAAGAATTAAATTCATTTAAAAGGTTCTTAATTTTCAATTAACATAGAAATATGGCATTACTTTTTACCTTTGACCTTTCTGAAATATTAACTTTGTTCACTAAAGCAATGCATAACAAATAATTTTACAAAACTAATCAGAATTTATAAAATCAAAAGTCCCCTATAAATGTATTTGCCATCAACATTTACAGGTTTTATTGAAAATTATTTGGAGATTCAAATCTGAAAAAGTAACAGTCATGCATACAAACAGGCAGAATAATAGTAGAGATCAGAAGGGCCAGGTGTTGGACAAGCATAAAGGTGACATATACAAACAAGCAGAATAATAGTATAGAAGACCCTTATAGTTAGAATTTGAGAAAATAATGAACAGATCTTTAAGTGATGATAACCTACCTTTGAATAGTGTATGAATTCAATTGTGTTAAGAAGACAAGATAAACAAGGTAAAAAAAAATGTAAGAATCAATACAAAAACTGCAAAATGCCATTTATTTTGGAATATGGTAATATTTTCACCTTTATTATTTAGAGTTACAAAACTCAAGATCTATCCAGAGAAAGACAAAAAGAGTGTAAGTCAAAATTCCTATAGAATTATAAACTGGTTACTAAAGGAGGTTTGGTCAAAAATTAATACTTGTTCTAATTTAATATATATTTGGAATTCTGATTAACACTTAAAAGTATTAATCAGAATTCAAAATATTTTAAAGCTATAAACCATAAAGGGTCTAGAAATCCAAGTGAAAGATTTGTAATGTTATCTTCTGTTTTCTTACCTGTAATCCTCTTTCAAAATGGCTACCTCTCTAGACAAACAAAGCAAAAAGCTACCATTTCTGATTTTGTACATATAAAATACTTCAGATGTTTGCAAGAGGTTTGTGAATATTTCTGGAAAGGTTGATGGGTCAATAGAGTTAATGGCAAGTC